AAAGCTAACAGAAATATATAAAATTACATAAAAGGACATGTAAGAATATGTGTTTCTATAATTAATTAAGGGGTGTATTTGAAAAATTTTAAAAAAGCTCTTAAAAAGCTAGTCTAAGTAGCTTTTCAAAAAGCTAGCTTATAAGCTAGCTGTGGCGCGCCAAACACAGCCTTAGTGGATAAAACATGCTACATTGCTTTCTTACTAAATACAATATTATATATATATATATATATATATATATATATATATATATATATATATATATATATATATATATATATATATATATATATATATATATATATGGAAAAGTTCAATAGAGAACCATAATTATGGGTTCTTCAAGGAACCAAATCTTTTTTTTTCAATTTCTAGAGCTTATTCTTTATCGAAAAAAAAATCTAAAAATATCTAAATTCATATATTAACATTGTGAATGTGAAAAATATTTTTCGGATTCAACGTGTGAATCCGGATTCACGTTGTGAATTTTCGAAGATTCACATTGTGAATTTGACGTAAAAAAAACAAAAAAATTCGAATTTTATATCATTGGAAAAAGGATAAAAAGTTATGAATTTCAGTATTTTTAGTTTTTTTTTTGATAAAAAATAAGTTCTAAAAGTTGAAAAAAAGATTAGTTCCTTGGTTCATTGGTTAATTATGGTTTTATATATATATATATATATATATATATATATATATATATATATATATATATATATAATGAAAACCATTACTGAATGAACACTTTGAAATTTCTTAGCCAATTGCATAGAATTTCGAGAGAGAAGTATGGAATGGAGTGGAGAAGAGAAGAGAATGGACAACAAACGACGTTATAGGCTGAAAATTATGGAGGCATGTCATGACCTGACTTTGTCGACCTTCCTAGTGTGTGACATGTGTTGGGTTTTCATTGGAGCATCATGGCCCTTCTAGAAGCTTGCATGTCGTGCCTTTTTGCACGTGGCGCACTCGGGAAAACTTCAAACATTTGTAACTTCTTCATACAAAGTCTGCTTTTTGATGTTCTTTATATCCACGCGTAGCTATTGACGAGATCTAAAACTTTTAGTTAGACGCAGTCTGCTAACTCTTACTTTATTTGTTATTTATTATTTTAGAAGGCTTAGGTTGCTAAACTTCGTTTAAAATTCATATATTTTTCATGCGATGTTCACTCTTGGTTGTCTTTAAATTGACGAAATCCTATTTACGAGATCTTCAACTCTCATTTATATTGTGTTTGCTAACAATTAACCGATCTAAAATTCGATTTATGTGTCTGCACTGTTGCGCTGAAACTTCAAACAATCATAACCTCCTCATATGATGTCAGATTTGAACATTCTCTATATGCACGCTCATGGTTTTACGATTACTACGACTTTCATTTTGATCACTTAGGCTAATAAGCGATCTATCTCTGATTCACCATTGAACATGAAAGTTCAAACGATCATAACTTCTTCATACGAAGTCAGATTTTTGCCTTCCTTATATCCCTGGAATCCTCATTACGACTAATTCAACTTTCACCAAGGCTATTTATCTTAGTTAATATTTTATTTTAATATTTCTTGTAGCCATTTTTATTAAGTTTTCTCCTAATATTATATACACATAATATAAGCACAAAAATCACATAGATTTAATCAATTTCCTTTTATTTATTCGTCAAATGATTACAATTGTTGACCAAAGTCAATTACACATCTTATAAATGCCTAGCGAGAAACGCAAGCATTACATAATAGATCTAGTATGAGCATCATGCTTGATTTGTGACAATGGTTTTTTGACATCTGTAGGATTATCTTTTGATGAAACATCACTCACAATAAGGTCTCCATATTCAACTAGCTTCCTTATATAGTGGAACTTTTTGAGTATATGTCTTGTGCGCTTGAGATCTCGAGGTTCTTTAGCTAAAGCGACCACACTCTCGTTATCATAGAAGATCCCAAACGATTCAGCTATGCTTGGAACAATTCCCAAATCGTTGATAAAATTCTTTAGCCACATTGCCTCCTTGGCCTCTTGATTGGCCGTAATATACTCTGACTCTGTTTTTGAGTTCGTTATAGTCACTTGCTTATAACTCCATCAAGTTACCCCTCCTCCATTTAACATGAATACAAAACCCGACTGAGATTGAAAATTATCTCTGTTAGTTTGGAAACTTGTATCCACATATCCTTTAACACTTAGCTCTTCTTTACCACCATAGACTGAGAGCATATATTTAGTCTTCCTAAGGTACTTCTGAATGTTTTTTATTGTGATCTAATGACTTTCAGTAGGATTGACTTGATAACGACTTGTTATACTAATAGAGTATAAGACATTTGGCCTTGTACATATCATGAAGTACATGATCGATCCTATATCCGAAACATATGAGACTCGACTAATTATGTCCAGTTATTCACTGGTACTGGGACATTGAGTTTTACTCAATACCACGTCACGTTGTATAGGTACAAATCCTTTCTTAGAGTCTTCCATCTTGAATTTCTTCAGGATTTTATCTAAGTATGTATTTTGGAAAAGTCATACCAGTTGCCTAGATCCATCCCTATAGATCTTGATACCAAGTATGTAAGTAGCTTCTCCTAAGTCCTTCGTAGCGAAATTATTCCCAAGCCAAGCTTTTACACTATTCGGTGTTGGGATATTGTTTCCTATAACAAGAACGACATCGAAACATGAGACAAGAAAGAAAAATACTCGTCTACCAGATCTAACATATTCATCTTCATTCCTTAAGAAACCAAACTCCTTGATTTTCTCATTGAAACATATGTTCCACCTACGAGGTGTTTGTTTATGGAAAGTGAAAAGAATCAAATATGACATCATCTTTAACACCATTGAAGATGTTAATCCCTCTAATTAAGTATTCTCCTCTTTTGATTTAGTATTTACCAAGTAATTAATAAACTGATCTTGGATTATACCTTCATCTCAACATAGTTCATACTTAGGTGGTCGTTATTTAATTTCTTCCTACCGGCATAGATGTTCTTCAACTCTTCTTACATATCTTGTTCAATTTTGTTTTGATAATGATTAAAAACGATTTTGGGCAAATATGATATTTTGGTTGTTTATTTATGGTATATATATGGTATTTTGAGATTAGACAGGGTAAATATGATATCTTGCTCTTTATTTAGGGCATATATGAAATTCTCCCTATAAAAAAGAAGAGATATATAATAATGAAAGTCTCAAAGTGGACTATGTATAGTTTATACAAGACAACCACAAGTTTCTTCTCATAATTAAAACAATAATGATATTAATGTCGATAATGTGGGTGTTGATGGAGATCAAATTGATGATGTTAATGTCAATATTAATCATGTTGATATATTTGATCCAAGAACATGGGAGGGACTTATGGGTTGTTTGTTTTGTCTCCGAATGATTACATTATGAGGTTGGCTCTAAATCATTTAGCTTCGGAATGTTTGGTTGAAACTTATTTTGGCAAAAAATAATATGAATCATTAAGAGATGAAGAGGAGTCTGAATAAAAACAATTGTAATCGATACCCTTCCCTAACAACAAAGCATGTCCGCCTCTTTTTTTTTTTTTTTTTTTTTTTTTTTTTTTTTTTTCTCTCCCTCTTCTCAGGCACCGGCACCATCCCCCTGCTGGCCTCCAATATCGTTTGGGTTTAAGCTTGTGGCCCTTATGGTTTCAATATCGTTTTTATACATTCCTTATTGTAATTCTTAGTTGAAAGATGAGTAAGTTAATGCATGCATCTACTGTAAAAGAAATCTAGTCAAAAAATGAGAAAAAACATAAACCTGTTTGAAGGATTCCTTCAGATCAAAACTAAAACTAAAACTAAAACTAAAATTGAAGTTGAGTCAAAGAGACTAAAACTAAAATCAAAGCATGGAGCTATACCTTTCTTGCATTTAGCCGATCTTAAAATAAAGTAGGTAAAAAAGTAATTATATATATATATATATATATATATATATATATATATATATATATATATATATATATATATATATATATATATATATATATATATATATATATATATATATATATATATATATGAAAGTCTTTTGTCTATTCGTAATGACCCTTTTAAAGAGACAATCCTTGACTTTATATATATCTTTACAAGGCCCTTAAGGTTTAGGTATAAACTTTTTATATTTTTTGTAATTCACAAATTATAATAATAATAGTTAGAAGGGCAAAATGTTTTTATACATCAAGATTAACTTACCAAACAACAGTAAATCATTCGGATCTTTTAATGATTCATACCACTTAATTGTTCAATAATGCCAAACAATCCTAAAATATTTTTATATCTATATAACATTAAGGCTAGTGGGATTGATAACACTCGTATTTTGTCATATAAGATTTTTTCATTGTCACATAGGTTTTTATATTGCCATGTAAACTCAAGGTATTTAGGTTGAAAAATATATGAAATGGTAGTGAGAAGAGTTTAATATGTTTTGTTTTGAAACAAAAAAATTAAAAAAAGAAAAACACCACAACCAATCATAGTCAATCTTTTACGTCTTAAGCAATCCATCACTAACGAGTCCCTTAAGAACTCTTAAGGGGTGGTGTAGAAATGGGTAAGAGTGTTTTGACGAGAGAGAGGTGACGATACCAATCCCTCAAATCTAACTATCCATTTAATCTGTATATTATTCTCATCCCTGCAACCAAACAAAACAAGGCTAGAGAGGCGGTGCAAATCGCACATTCTAGATATAACATTCTAGAGATTCTAATTTTTGGATTTTATATTTTGCTACCCAACATTCTTGATTTGCTAAATGTTATAATTCTATCGAAACATTTAAATTATCATAATATCATAACGTTGATAATGCAAGAAAAGTTTTAAATTTAAATGGTAAAAAGTATCATGACTCATAATCATCCTTTTATACGGTTAATAAAATTACAAATTATAAATTATAAATTAATAAAAATAAAATAAAATTATAAATTGTTATTAAATAAATAAAAAAAAAAAAACATTTCTTTCTTAACAAGAAAGGAGTCCTGCGCTTTCACAAATTCATCATATATGCACAAGTACCCCCTACCCAAACCCTCACACATCCCAAAAATTCACAATTCTGTCAATCGGAATTTACAATCAACCAATCTTCTTCAACAACATGAGTAATCAAGCAGAATCATCCGATGCGTAAGTCACAGTTTTCTATAAATCTCTAATTTAATGCTGGCAATAATGCTATATGAGTTCCAGAGTATGGCTGTTTCCCACTCTTGATGTCGATTTTGATATTGATCTCAAGTTCTGACTTAACATTCATTGTGATTGTGTGTAGTAAGGGGACAAAGCGGGACTTCAGTACGGCGATTCTGGAGCGGAAGAAGGCTGCTAACAGACTCGTTGTCGATGAAGCAATCAACGATGATAATTCTGTTGTTGCCTTACATCCCGAGACCATGGAAAAGCTTCAGTTATTCAGAGGCGACACCATCTTGATCAAGGTAGTTTATTTCGTACTTCTGGCTATCGTTGTTTTGCCTAATGTATCGTAATTGATCTAAGTTTTGTGCTAGGTTAGGGTTTTAGACTGTTATTTAACTCTGCATATAGTCTGTCAATGAAGGTTTTCCGTCTGCGAACTTATAATTAAATTTCAAGGAGATTTCACGATCTAATCTTATGATCATAGTATTCTATGCCATCTTTACTTGATTCCGTTGTTTAAACATCCAATGTTACTTCAAATCTGGTAAAATATCTCTAGATTCGTGAAACTAGGTCGCTTTATTACTGTGAAGATCGATTTCATTACTGCTAGTGCTTGATTAAGTTGCTTTTGCTTATTGTTTTTTCCATGCTGACTGATGCTTCTATATGGCCAGTGGCCTATTCTGAATCATTGGTACACATAAAGATGAGTAGCCTGTGTATATGATTTTGAAACATGTTCTTGCTATTGTTTGCCTTATAATTCTAGTTTTGTACATAATTAAACTAGTATGCTAGTTATATCAAGATTCTTAAGGTATCTGTTTCTATATACAGGGAAAGAAAAGGAAAGACACAATCTGTATAGCTCTTGCTGATGACACTTGTGAAGAACCAAAGATCAGGATGAATAAGGTAGTCAGAACAAATCTCAGAGTCAGACTTGGTGATGTAGTCTCAGTTCATCAATGTGCTGATGTCAAATATGGGAAACGTGTTCACATTCTTCCAATTGATGACACAATCGAAGGCGTAACAGGAAATCTCTTCGATGCTTATCTAAAACGTAAGTTTCTCCATACAAAATCACATTAACTTTCTTTAGTCTTTACAACATAATCCATTCAATGTACTCAACTCACATCATGTATTATAATATTATACACTGTTTGCAGCTTACTTCATGGAGGCATATAGACCAGTGAGAAAGGGTGACTTCTTTCTTGTAAGGGGAGGAATGAGAAGTGTAGAGTTCAAGGTCATAGAAACAGATCCACCAGAGTATTGTGTAGTAGCACCCGATACTGAAATCTTCTGTGAAGGTGAACCCGTAAGAAGAGAAGATGAAGATCGGTTAGATGAAATCGGTTATGATGATGTCGGTGGGGTCCGCAAACAAATGGCACAAATCCGTGAGCTAGTTGAGCTTCCATTGAGACACCCACAGCTTTTTAAGTCAATAGGGGTCAAACCCCCAAAGGGTATTTTACTATACGGCCCCCCCGGATCCGGGAAAACTTTAATAGCTCGGGCAGTTGCTAACGAAACCGGGGCTTTCTTTTTCTGCATCAATGGGCCCGAAATCATGTCGAAAATGGCGGAGAAAGCGAGAGTAATTTAAGGAAAGCTTTTGAAGAAGCTGAAAAGAACGCTCCATCAATTATCTTCATCGATGAAATTGACTCAATTGCCCCTAAGCGTGAGAAGACACACGGTGAAGTTGAAAGAAGAATTGTGTCACAGTTGTTGACTTTAATGGACGGGTTGAAATCGCGTGCACATGTTATTGTCATGGGTGCTACCAATCGTCCTAATAGCATTGACCCTGCGTTGAGAAGATTCGGGAGGTTTGACCGGGAAATTGACATTGGTGTCCCTGATGAGATTGGGAGACTTGAAGTTCTTCGTATTCATACCAAGAACATGAAATTAGCTGAAGATGTTGACTTGGAGAAGATTTCGAAAGAGACACACGGGTATGTGGGTGCTGACCTGGCGGCTTTGTGTACTGAAGCTGCACTTCAGTGTATTAGAGAGAAGATGGATGTGATTGATTTGGAAGATGAGTCGATTGATGCGGAGATTTTGAACTCCATGGCTGTAACGAATGAGCACTTTGCAACTGCACTTGGGACTAGTAATCCTTCTGCTCTTCGTGAGACTGTTGTTGAAGTGCCTAATGTTAGTTGGGAAGATATCGGAGGCCTTGAGAATGTCAAACGTGAGCTCCAAGAGACTGTTCAATATCCGGTTGAACACCCGGAGAAATTTGAAAAATTTGGAATGTCACCATCAAAGGGAGTCCTCTTCTATGGCCCACCAGGGTGTGGGAAAACACTACTCGCGAAAGCTATCGCCAACGAATGCCAAGCAAACTTCATCAGCATCAAGGGACCAGAACTACTCACGATGTGGTTCGGTGAAAGTGAAGCGAATGTACGCGAGATCTTCGATAAAGCGCGTGGGTCCGCCCCTTGTGTTCTTTTCTTCGATGAACTCGACTCCATCGCCACCCAGGTATATAACAAGATACAGATTACTTACTATTTACGTTTCTGCCATTTTCGTATTTGACAAGTTTATTGTTTTTTCAGAGAGGAAGTAGTCAAGGAGACGCAGGAGGTGCAGCGGATCGGGTTTTGAACCAACTGTTGACTGAAATGGACGGGATGTCTGCGAAAAAGACGGTTTTCATAATCGGTGCGACGAACCGACCAGATATAATCGACCCGGCGCTTTTGAGACCCGGTCGACTCGATCAGTTAATTTACATTCCTCTCCCTGATGAAGAATCTCGCTATTCCATCTTCAAATCCGCTTTACGAAAGTCGCCCGTTGCAAAGGACGTTGACCTTCATGCTCTTGCTAAGTACACCCAAGGCTTCAGTGGCGCTGACATCACCGAAATCTGTCAACGCGCGTGCAAGTACGCCATCCGTGAAAACATTGAAAAAGTAAGTTGGATTGTTGTTTTTTGATATGATAAGAGGGGTAAAATGGTAATTAGGTAATTATCTAAGATTTTGATGTAATGTGTGGTTTTGTAGGATATTGAGAGGGAGAAGAAGAGGAGTGAGAATCCGGAGGCGATGGAGGAGGATGTGGAGGAGGATGAGGTGGCGGAGATAAAGGCGGCTCATTTTGAAGAGTCAATGAAGTTTGCACGAAGGAGTGTGAGTGATGGGGATATTAGGAAGTATCAGGCGTTTGCGCAGACGTTGCAGCAGTCGAGAGGGTTTGGGTCGGAGTTTAGGTTTGCGGAGGCCAGCGGTGGTGCTGCGGCGGCGGGTGGTGGAGCGGACCCGTTTGGTGCGGCGGCAGGTGGTGCTGATGATGATGATCTTTATAATTAGTTTAGTTTGGTTAATAATGTCATACACGGATGATGCTTTCTAATATCGTTGTCTATGGTGTGAAAATACTTGGTTTCTTGAATTTATTTATGTATTTATGTAACTTAAATCCTACCTTGTTTCTATGAGCGTGGTTTTATTAGACGTTTCTTAGGGAAAGCTCACCAACATAACGTATTATATATATTACCAAAAGATGGAATGAATGAATATGCACAAACCATCATACATGAGACACCTCAAACCATGCCCCGATCATCATTTCAAGTTTGATAATAAATATCCTAATATTGTTAAACAACACCAACTATGATGTTTTAATGGCAATTTATTATAAAGCTAGCGGGGAAATTTTCACCCACAGATCAAATTCTAGGTCAAAACCATAGATTGAACTCACAAATAACGATCTACCAATTGTTTTATAATTTACTACCTATAACAAAAATAAATAAATAAACAAATAAATAATACAAAGAAATCTAAGAATCATAAAAAAGGAAACTAAAAACCTAAGTTCCCCTCATTAATTTTCCTCCGGTATTTGTAACAAATAATGCCAAAACAAAGATATAATAAAAAATACTTCATCCTTCCCTAAATTATTGTTCACAAATATAATAAAATGACAGTTTTGTTCTTATTTGGAATTTAATGTTTCATTAAATGTTTAGTTTGTTAAGTAATAAATAGTGAATATTTTGGTAAAAATGTTATTCATTTTTAGAAGTGGACTATTATTTTAGGACAAAATCAAAAGAAAAGATGAACTATAATTTTGAGACGGAGAGAGTAATATTTTTTTTAACCAATATATATATATATATATATATATATATATATATATATATATATATATATATATATATATATATATATATATATATAAACTTCCAAAGATTCCAAAGATACCACCAAGTAACAAAAAACACCCTTCAAGAATTTCAATGACCTACTTCTTTAGTCTTAAGATTTTCAATCAAATACACCCAATCAACATAAGATTCAAAATAATACGGTAGTAAACCTGCCAAACCAAAACTTTAGCAAGCACCATCTTCACATCCAAACACTTGAAAAAAAGATGATCGGTGGATTTCATACCAACATCACAATTAGGGTATAAAATAGAATGAATGCCCAAACCTTTTAGAGACAAATTCTCTTTCATAGTTAAACAATCCATGAACATTTTCTAACAAAAAACATTCACTTTAGTTAGCATCAATTTGACATATCTAGTAGCATTAAAAACCGTATCCAGAGTAATCAAATCCACCAGAGATTTCAGAAGAAACAAAATGTCTCATTTCCAAAAGTTTTTCCAAATTTCGCATTACAAATCTTATGAACTTTTGATAGGATATTCAAATGACGGTTGAGAAGAGTATGAATTGAATGAAAATATTTGTGGAGCCATAGTAGGATAATAGAAACTAGTGGGTGAATGAATTGGTTGATCAGATGACGGTCGATAACATGGTGGTGATGGAAGGTTTAGTGATGGAGTGTTTGGTGATTAAGTGTTTGGAGGTGGAAGGTTTAGTGATGGAAGGATTGCAAATTTTTTTTTGTTTTTTCTTAGGGCTTTGTTTTAGGTAGATGAAGACATTTTTTTTTTTTGTAAATTGAGAGTATTTGTAAGACAGGTAATGATATTTTGTGTGTGTGAAATGTTGAAAGTGTAGTTTAGTTTATAATGGTTGAATTATAGTTTAAATTTTTGAATTTTAGAGGTAAAAAAGTTTTTTTTTTAATTAAATGAAGTTAGGTATGAAAATTAAATGAATTTAAGTTTGAATGGTCAAGACACAAACACATCTTCTCTAATCACAACCAAGTTTTTCTTTCTCTCTCCTCTTGCTACGTCTGCAACGATCTTTCGTTGATAGGTCCCCTAACGAGTGTTACGGGGTGGTGTTCCTTGTCCTAACGAGCAGCTCGGCGAGTCCACTCCTCGTAGCCTTACTGATCTTCTTAACATTTCTTTAGCGAATCGTATTGCTACTGGGCTGATCCTACTAGATTCAGTCCAAAGTGGTCCTACAACCGATACACACAAGGTTTGGTATTCAATCATAGATTTGGTCTAAAAATACCCGACACATCTCGGTTCGGAACCAATCAAGCACATTCTTGTTGTTTGGTTTATTAATCATCACAACATAAAAATGAGTAAAAAATAAGTTAGTTTATTAGTTACCTATAATGCAAAAACATGTTTGTTGGAAATAAATCTATGTATTTAACAAATAATCAACATGGGCGTCACGTTGATTTTGAGGGTCAGTGCAAAAAATAAAAGTGGGCCCCTAAATATAAATTTGATATGTATATATAAGCAAAATTTGTTCATAGGATGATAACTTGACAAATGTTATGAAGACAAGAGAAAAAATGATAATACAATTGTTAAATGAATCGCGAGATTCTGATAACATTATTTAGTTATTTAGAATATGTTTGTTAGTGTGTTACATTCGTTAATCAATGATAACAATCAGAATATAAAATGAGGTGCCATCACATTTAGAAATTAGGAATAGTAAAATACTTAGTTGTATAATTTCAAATAACAATAAAAAAGTAGAGCGAGAGTGCAATATAAACGAGAGATGGAGTATAGTGGAATCAGAAAACCAAGAAACAAAAAAAATGTCATTTGAGCTTTGCAGTTGTGTGGCATCCCCATTTTTACGGTCAGAAAAGACCGATTTTGTTTATGCTTTGTTTAAAAATTAGAGTACCTCTTTTAATAAAAATGTTGCGGAATTTGTTCCCAGTAAAACATGATAAATATGTTATCAAGGCATTTCTGAAGAAAAATATTTTTATTCATTTTAAAACATTTGGGATGTCATCGTCAATACAGAAACATAAGCATAAACAAAACTTACATTCATTATCACTAATGATTTATATCTCCTAAATCTCTCAGTGTAATGTGACTTCATATCAACACCCGTGATATAAATAAACTGAGTGGGTCAGGTTGGAAAATCTGGTGAGTACATAGGGTTTTCAACCCACAATAATATAATTATTATGTTTAAACATCAAACAATCAATCCAATTATCCATCCCTATTATCTTCCTTACTCTTAAGGGTCTACCCTAAGAGTCATCTATCCTGCATTCGTTCATTTCGAAGTCCCTTGCTTCCAGGGTTTATAAGACAGGCGCTAATTCCATAGCTGCCAATACACTAAATCCATAGCTGCTAAAGTTCATTCATCAGGTACTAAATCCATAGCTACAATGTAGGTACTAAGTCCATAGCTACCAACGTTTATCTAACAGGCACTAAGTCCATAGCTGCCACGTACTAAGTCCATAGCTACCATCACCTAACAGGTACTAAGTCCATAGCCACCCGTGTTTACCTAATAGGTACTAAGTCCATAACTTCCAGTGTTTGTCCAATAGGCACTAAGTCCATAGCTGCCGATGTTATTTATTAGGCACTAAGTCTATAGCTGTCAATGTTTACTCACATCATCTTTTATCTCTCATTATTCATCTACCCATGTCATACCCAACAAATTTGTAGATATAAAATACATATACAGTTTAAATCATTTAAAACATGTATAAAATCGTTCATCCAACATAGATAGCAAGTATATAGATAATATGCACACGTAACACGTAGTTTATATAAAATACTTCATATCTATGTGTAAGATGAAAGTTACTATGAACTCACCGGGTAAGGTGGTGAGTCGGCACTCGGACAACACTTCGTTACTCTTAAAACAATTATCCCTTGACGAAACCTAGTATCATTACCACTAGAGTTTAGTCTAACATTTGACGACACTAATTAATAGTCTAGCTATTATTACTATTATATAAGTGTTGAACAATACTTATATAACCCATAATAATAGCCCAAATACTCCTTATAAGGCCCTAATAACATTACTATATTGAAACATAAGTTATACTAAAGATAGGGTAGGCATAGCTCACTTACAGCGGGTTTTCTCGAAAACCGGGCTCTGCCGAAGCAGAGTTTCTGAGCCGATGGCTCTTCTTTTCGGATCCATCAGGCGCTCCGGGGCTTCCGTCTCGTGCTAGGGAGTTACCCTAGGCTTTGGGGGGTTAGGGAGGCTGAGAGAGATAGAGAGTTTAGAGAGAGAAAGAAGTGGGGAAAGGTGTGGGAAATGGAGGAACCTGACACCTCTATTTATAGGTTGAATTCCTGATGGACTCGCCAAGTCGGTGCCACGTGTCATCACCTGATGGCTTTTCTTGGGGAGAAAGCCTTGGTCCATATTCAGCCACGTCACCCTTTTTGCAGCAGCACCCTGCCGACTTCTAAATCCTGTAACTTTCGCATATGAGCTCCGTTTTCGGCTAATTCTCGACCGATCTTAAATTTAACAGTATGAGGAGATTAGACTGTTAAATGACCACGAAGAATTCATAACTCCTTCATACGGACTCCGTTATCGTCTGTCTTTTTACTGTTGAGTTCCTATTAATGAAATATTCAACTCTCATTAAGTTTGCATAAGCCAAAAACTGCTCGAACTAAAATTCGAGTTTCGGGTCGTGCACTGCTATGCCAAATCTTAGAAAAATCATAACTTCCTCATACGAAGTCAGATTTAGGCGTTGTTTTTTTTGTATGTTCTCGGTTTAACATATACTACAACTTTTGTTTAGATCACTAAGGCTAAAAAGTCTTCCATCGTAAATTCACTATTTACGTCTCCCGGTGTCGTGCCGGTTTTGCCGAAAAACTTCGACGGGCCATAACTTCTTCGTTATAGCTCAGATTTCGGCATTCTTTATATGTACGGAACCCTTGAGACATATTCTACAACTTGGTTAAGATTATTTAATCTAAAATATTTTTTCAAAAAGTCGTTTTCGACCTCTATTATCTCTAAATTGACTAGCCCAGATCTACAGGCGTTACGGTTGATACAAATTTGGAAGTTTGGAATTGGAACAAAATGTAAGCTCTTGTTTACTGTAAATTTACATTACCCTAAATTTAATTTTTAACTTTAAGCCCAATTTTTCAAAACTTGAGTTGCTGTTACTTTTAATTGTAGCGTTAGCTATTGGAATTGAAAAATACATGGACTTTTATCTTTTCGATTATTGGATTGTCGATTGCTAGACTGTGAACATAATCATATGTAAAATTGGGTCTCCTCCACGACATGTGCCCCGTGCTCTCACCCACCTCACGCACCTCAAAGACGCCCATGATAATCAAC